GCCCGCCGGTCCCCTCTGCCCCCGGGGCCGGTTTGCAGGGTCCGATGTACCCCTGAGTGAGTTACGGTGCTCGCTGAGGCGTGGTCAGTGTTTCTTTGCTGGTTTTTATTTTTAAGGGGGATAAGGAAAACCAAACCAAAGCCTAGCTGTGATGGTGCTGTATTTTTTTGCAGTCCCGCTCCCTGTAGCGTTCGCGTTCTTCAGCATTGGGGTCCAGCCGAAAATCCTGAGGGCAGTGCCGCGTCCCCTTTTGTAAGTACACTTGGAAAGTTAAAGTGGTAACCAAGGGAATGTTTGGAAGCTGCTCATCTTTACTTTTCCTTCACTAAAGCATGGATGCAGCTCTTCCAGGCTTTTACAGCTGAGGATATTCTATATATGAAAATGTGCGTGTTGATGCTATAAATAAACGTTTTCTTCAGGGGAAAATTAGTCACGCTCTGTGTAAAATCAACTGTGAGCTCATTAGCTATTTTTCTGGGAGTCTTTGCCTTATGAAGATACTGTTGTTGAAGTGGAAGAGTTTTAACCTGCAGATTTTGTGGTCGATTATGAAATTTAGGAGCGCACAAACTTCCAGTGTGCAGAATTGTTTGGTGAGGGACCTGTTAAAATCTAGATGACAAAAGCTAATTTTAGGAAGTGAGGAGTGTAAACATGTGTGCTTGACTTTTGAAAGGTGAATACTCTGTTTAAAGTTGATGAAATTAGCAATGGCACAAAGACGAGCATGTTTTTGAATGCGTAGGATCTGGGTGGAGGGAGGATGTATTTAGTCATGCCAGTGAAAATTTAAATGGTTTTGATCTGTCAGCTTTAGTGCAGTCTTTTTTTGGCTTGCAGGAGACACAGCTTTTTGGTTTTGTTTTTAGGAAGAGCAGGTGTTTTCAGGATGCCCAACTCCAACGCTAGATTCCGTTGTAACCACAGAGGGGGTCAGGAAGCTGGCAGGAGAGAGCTGGTTTCCAGGTCTTTGCAGAGTGCTCAGCACTGCCTGGAAGACCAGGATTTTGGAACTGCATATGCTCACTACCTCCTGGTACTAAATCTGGCTCCTGAGTTAAAAGCCAGCGTCAAGGTGAGTGCTCTTTGAATTGCTTTAAAACCTTTTATTTACTATATTCCTCTTTGAGCCTTTGTGACCTGTTGTGTGCATGTAATTTATTGTACTTAACTCATTTTCCTATTCAGTCTTCAAATAAAAGCAGAAAGCAGTAATGATGGAGGTAGACAGTAACATGTTTTAATAAGCTCTATGAGGGAGGTAGACAGTAACATGTTTTAATAACCTCTGTATGTATAAGCACAGGGAATTAAACCACTTTTAGTCTGTCAACTTTTTATTAATAAAAAAGTCAGGCCTTGTTAATATTGGTCTTACTATAGCATGCATTAATATACACAATCTTAGTAAATATTAGGCTCTTAGTAGATGTTGCTGGGTGCTGATACCTTGTGTGGGTATCTAAGAGCTTATTTCTGCTTCTTCAAGTGAGGCAGATGACTTGGCATGATAGCAAACAATTGTATGCTGCTGTTTGGGGATTTGAGAGTGTTCAGGTGCAGGTCAGGATGTCTCTAGATGTTTTCAGGGCTCAATTCTTTACTTCTGGTGACTATCAGCAAATCTATGTTTTATTTTCTAGGAAACATTTCAGTTTACTCTGTTTAAATGGGCAGAGGAGCTGGATTCTCTGGCACGGATTCAAGACCTGTTTAACTGTTATGAACAAGCCCTTGAGCTGTATCCAAATGATGAAGTGATCTGTAACAGTATGGGAGAACATCTTTTCAGGTTTGTAGCAGTGTGTGTTCAGGTTTTCTAAGGTTCATATTTAGTGCTGTGTGCTAAGAAGCAAGGCCAAATTCAGCAGAGCACAGAAAATGTGCTTAAAAGAAGTAAATTCAAGCATATATTTAATGCTGTATAGCATGTACTGTTGAATCTGAGACACTTGTCAGCTTAAAATAGCCAATGCTAAAATAAATGTTGATAGTCACAGCAAAAGTTAAAAAAAAAAGTAAAATCACTTTTACTGAAGTAAAAAAAAAAGTACTGCCTTCAAATATTTTTCTAACAATTTATTAAGGAATTTCTAAACAAGAAAAGAGTCCCAAATTGTTCAGAGTCACTGTTCTGGTTAACCTGCAGTTGAAGTTTTTCCTTTCTTGTTAGATCCCTGAGAAAGTTCTGCCTTGGAATACTATCTTTTAATTCTTGAGGTCCCATATAACAGACCTCTGAAGTGAAGCAGCTGGTCACCTGTACTCTGTAGGGCTGCTCTTAAAAATGGTTTGAGTGGATTCTTTCCTTTGTTAGTGTCAAGTATTCTTTTTCTGGTTTTCCAGGCAGTGCAACACGTGGAGCTTTGCTGTCACTTGGGGGCCTAGAGTCTTCTGAAGATAGAATTTTGAGATTGAGATCATAGGGGGTGGATCCAGATAGTTTTAATTAGGTTTTCTTTTTGTGATTTTGTGAGTTTTGAGAAATAACTGAATAAGTTATATTACAATATATTGCAATATTTCTTGTATTTCATAGACTTTGGGTTTTTTTGGGTCTGATTAGAGAACATTCTATGGGTATCATAAAAACTTGCTTTGAGGTCACAATGTATCAGAATTGCCACTTAATGCCAACGTTGGCAACTCAAAATTTGGTTTTACAGTGTGTTCTATTTAAATAGAGTGGTTTGGGGGTTTGCAGCATTCTCTTGACTTGAAAATCTGTGAGATGACTTGAAAATCTGTGAGACTGGATTGCAGAGCTTCTGCTGCCATCCTGCTGCAGCAAGCTCTTGTAAAACCTGTTCTAGCTTGTTAAGGATGTAGTAGTGGATGGAGACTGCTGCACACAATGGTATTTTTGGGCTACCTTTTCACTTTGAAGGGAATCACTCCTCATGAGGTAACATCAATGTTTCTGAAGGCAGTCTAACTAATGCAGAATATTTCCATTGTCTTTTCATGGACACAAGACCTCTTTAGAGACCTCCAGGCACTTGGCAGCTGAACCCACACTTCCCATTTGTCCTTTTTTTCCTCTTAGGATGGGCTTTAGAGATGAAGCAGCTGGCTATTTCCACAGAGCAGTGAAGCTCAACCCAGACTTTGCTGATGCAAAGGAGAACTTCTACCGTGTCGCAAACTGGCTGGTGGAACGCTGGCACTTCATCATGCTCAACGACACCAGGAGGAACCTCACCTACTTCCAGGCCATTGAGAATGCTGTCCACTCAGGGTGCAAATCTGTCCTTGATATTGGAACTGGAACAGGAATTTTGAGGTGTGTCCTCAGAGCATATTTAACCTGAGCTTAACAGGAGCGTTTTTGTTGTCTTCACAAAATCTGGTTGCTAATGGAAAAAAAATTGACTTTCATGCCTTTATTGAGGCAAAACTTGAGAGGAAAAAAAGCTTTCAGGAGTCTGGAGGTTAGTGTCTAATGGGAGTTTTGAACACCTTAAAAAAAATTATTATTTGGAGGTAGTTTTTGTGCTAACTGCTGTGTGAATTGGGTTGCTCATGTTGGTTTTAGAGTTGTGATGCCATGTGTGCTCAGTTTAGAGGCTGGTATAAAGACTGAATTTAGCATAGCCAGGGGAGTATTCTTAGCCTATGTGTGAGGTTTTGGTGGTGACATGTCAAGAGGATGTCAATTTGTGTGATAGCAGTGTTCACACAGGACATCCTAGTTCACTTCATGATTTTTAGACTGTTTTCTTAGAAACAGGAGACAGATGCAGAAACAGGAGACTTAAGAAAACTCAGTACATTGCCATGCTTTGCCTAGAATGATTTGAACTGTGGAAAAGCTGTGATTCTTGTTTTTTTCAGCATGTTTGCAAAGAAGGCAGGAGCATCTTCTGTCTATGCCTGTGAATTATCAAAGACCATGTATGAACTTGCCTGTGATGTGGTGGCAGCAAACAATATGGAAGGAGAGATCAAACTTCTGCATCTGAAGTCACTGGACATAGAAATTCCAAAGCACATACCTGAAAGGTAGGTGGTTGTGCTGTGGTGTGGTATTATTTTGCTCTTAATTTCAAGAAAATAGAGAATACCTCATGGCCTGAACAGGAGGTGACTTTGGCTGTGGTATGACCCATTCTGTGAGCAGGTTCTCTCTATGCTTTCATAGAGCAGCCCAGAAATGATAACATGTTCTCTTTGTCATAGTGATTTCTATGGTAGATCAACAATGTCATAAATAACAGTTTAATTCTTTCACTCTAGGAGCTTCAGGGCATGTGCAATTATATTGCAGCAATAGGAAAAGGGAAATTATCACATCATAAAACTAATTGTCACACACTCTCCTGGTTCACTTGTGGCTCACTTCTGCAGCACATGGGTGGGGTGGAGAGATGCAACAGGGTCTGGAAGACAAGACTGTTTCTGGGGCATTCCACAACCCTGCAACTCCATTTCAGCTTCTGTATTTCTCAGAGAGATCAGAAATAGCACATTTTCTGCCTCTTCTGATCAGGGAGTGAGGGGAAAACCCCCCCTCTCCTCTGTCCTCTGAGCAGAGTGCTTTCAGTACATGTGATTGAGGCTTTTTACACTACACTGCTCCTCCTTGATCAGCAGGATCTGTACATGTTTTTGCAGGGAGAAATCTTAGGGGGTTTTGTTTGATTTGGTGTATGCAAAGGACTGGTTTGTCACTTCAGCTCATGCCTACTGCTCTCCTACTTGGTCTCTCCTCCCAAATTACTGATGATAGGACAAGACAAAACAGCCTCAGGTTGCATCAGGGGAGGTTTTGTTTGGATATTAGGAAGAATTTCTTCCCTGAGAGCGTGGTCAGGCACTGGAACAGGCTGCCCCTTTGGATTTAAATCCAAAGTGTGTAGGATTTTAGGGTCCACTAGTCTGCACAGGGATTTTACTGTGCTTTGATTAAAGTTTGGGGGCTTTTAAATTCTTCTTTAAGACATGCCTGGGTGCATCCTCTTGCAGAAGATTGAGGCAGAGTACATATTCTGCAGCATCACTGGCTGTGTGCCCAGACTGAAGCATCTTCCTGTTTTGGCTAGATTCTTCCTACACAAATTATTTATAAGTGCTGAACGAGAGGCTTTGTGGTAAACTCTTGCTCAATATTTATTATCTTTTATCTACATCTTGAGTAACTTCTAACAACAACTCAAAACACATCATTTGTTGAAGAATTAAGCTACCCTGAAGCTTCAGAACACTGGTGGAAGTTGTGCTCTGAGCACACCTTGGTATGGTGGTTTCTTTCTTGAAAAGAGTGATTGTTAATTGGTGTTACATATTGTATCTCATGGTGTTCTTTTTCTCCTCCAGAGTTTCCTTGGTGGTCACAGAAACAGTTGATGCTGGTTTATTTGGAGAGGGAATTGTGGAGAGCTTGATACACGCTTGGGAACATTTACTTCTGCCACCTAAGGTGAGTGATGTGGATTTATACATTAAAATGGGGTTCCTCTTTTGATAGCTACTTGTGCATATACACATGCACACCTTCACAGGCATACATGGATGAGGAACAGCTTTCTGGTGTTTCATACCTGTGGATGTTTTAAAAAGGAATGATCTGGGTTTGGTTTATGGTTTGGTGAGGCAGCTGCACACAATGTGCTTCTGGGAGCTTCTGTTCTCTTCAGCTACTTGCAGTGCACATCCCCCTGGTGTAACCTCCCATTGTACAGAGGTGATTTGATCACTGTCCATCCTTTTTTTCTCCCCCCCTCCACGTGTGAGTACACCAAAGGGGTGTGGGGGTCTTTTAAAGGCACTAATTTCCTACAAGTTTGATTACAACCTGGTCATTTTGGGATAGAATCATAGAATCCTTTAGGTTGGAAGGGACCTCCAAGATCATCAAGTCCAACCCTTGAGCCATTAGGGCTCTAAAGTCCTCTGCTAAAACAGATCAGAATCTGTCAGGGTTGGAAGGGACCACAAGGATCCCCCAGTTCCAACCAATTAGTAGCAGAGGATTGTGTCAATCTAAGCAGAAAATGCTGAGCTATGGTAGGATTATTTCTTCACAGTAGGGAACAGTCAATTTTAAGTTGATAAGTATGCCACATGCTTATGCTTTTTATTTATTTTTAGTAACTTCTAACTGGTTTTGAAGGCTGAATACTTTCACTGCATCTCAGACTTTACTTTGTGTTTTTCATTCTAGCATACATTAAACCAAGTAATATGTCAGGGAGTCTTATCTGGGTTAACCTCTGCTAGGTCTTGTGCAGTAGAAGAAAAACTTTTATCCTGATGTTGCCTTGATTCCAGCTGATTTTAAAGAAAATCTCCTTTGCCTGGAAGCTCTTGTAATGTATTGAACTGAAGCTGGTGACCTCTAGTGTTAAGTACAGGAATGATGCACGAAGGAGAGGTCCTCAAATGTTTCAGTGTATTCTGACAGGATTCAAACTCAAAAACCCTTTTAGAACTACACCAAGGAGTAAAACTGATGTGTGGAGATGTGGAAACACAGGAACACCAAGAACTTACTGATGTTTGCACAATTAATATGTAACCTGGGCTTTGCAGTAATGGCAGAAATAGGTCACTGCCTTGTTGCTTGTTGTTTTCACAGCCTAAAAATGAAGCTGTCAGTCCTGGAGACTATGGCAGAGTACTATGGAAGAGTTATTCCTGCAAGTGCTACCATATTTGGGATGGCAGTGGAATGCAAAGAGATCCGTAGACATCACAGGTTTGTTTGAACTCTGACACTGTTTGAACCCCTTTTTGTTATTTGGGAAGAGAGATGGGTGGATTTTTATTGAGAATTTTTTCACTCTTCTCATTATTATTTGAATGGCTGATGATCTGTTTCACTAAAGACTTTCCCCACCCCTTTTCCAGGTTCTCTTTTCCACCCCCCACTTTGTGGTTTGGTATTTTGGGATCGTTTCACCAGAAACTCTTGACTTTCAGTTATATTGAAAATGCCTTTTCCTGTTGCATGTCTGCCTGCCTTTGTTCTGGCTGTTCTGCTCATCTGAAAGGAACACCTTCATTATCT